ACCGAACGGGGTATTGTACGCGGCAGAGTAGCCTTGCTGCTACGATCCGCTGAGATTCAGCCCTTGTTCTTGACCCACCCCCCCCTCTCTTCCCCCCTCCCACCCTGAACGCCGGGGTGGGGCATGGGGGGGCGTCCGATGCCCGCGGAGAAGGGCATCGGGCGGGCCCTTGTTGTCTTCCCTTTCCCCTTTTAGAGGACAACAGGGGTCCGCATCCCTGCGTTGGCAATGGAAGGAGGGATACGTGAGAGAGAGAGTGAGAGGGGATGGGAAATCGAGGGTAGGCAGAGCCCTCTCGGGGCTGGTTGGTTGGTTTGGCTGGATCGTTGTTGGCCGGCCTGTTAGAAGGGTGAGGGTCGCTCCCTCTCTCTTCAGGTGGGTGGGCCGCAGGGCTCGCACACTGGAAGGGCCAAGGATCGAAGGAGATCCTCCCTTCCGATGGGCGTGCCCCGGGCCCCCCGATGGATGTATATAGAAGGGGACACCTTCTTTATAAATCCATCAAAACGGTCTAGACGGACGACGACTGACTCGACGAAGACGGAACTAAGGACATAAGGACATAAGGCAGGGGAACCCCAGCGTTTTTTCAGCCCAATTCTAGGGATTCTAGGGGTCTCGGAGCCGAAAAGCGAGGCCAAATCGGATCGTCCGGGTCATCCGGGTGGAGAACCGGATCGTCCGGGTCATCCGGGTGGGGAACCGGATCGACCGGACCATCCGGATGGGAAACCGGGTCATCCGGGTCGGGAACCGGACCAACCGGATCATCCGGGTGGGGAACCGGGTCGACCGGACCATCCGCACGCGGAACCGGATCATCCGGGTCATCCGGGTCGGGAACCGGATCGACCGGACCATCCGGATGGGGAACCGGATCATCCGGATCATCCGGGTCGGGAACCGGATCGACAGGACCATCCGGGTGGAGAACCGGACTCAACCGTACCATCCCCGTGGGGGACCGGACCCAACCGGACCATCCGGGTGGGGTGCCGGGTCGGGAACCGGACCGACCGGACCATCCGGGTGGGGAGCCGGATCAACCGGGTCATCCGGGTGGGGAACCGGATCAACCGGGTCATCCGGGTGGGGAACCGGATCGACCGGGTGGGAAACCGGACCAACCGGACCGACCGGACCATCCGGGTGGGGAACCGGACCCGGCCGGACCATCCGGGTGGGGTACCGGGTCAGGAACCGGACTGGGAACCGGATCATCCGGGTCATCCGGATGGGGAACCGGATCATCCGGGTCATCCGGGTGGAGAACCGGATCAACCGGACCATCCGGTTGGGGTACCGGGTGGGGAACCGGACCAACCGGACAGGGAACCGGACGGGAAGCCGGATCATCCGGGTCATCCGTATGGGGAATTGGATCGACCGGGTGATCCGGGTGGGGAACCGGATCAGCCGGGCAAGCCCGATGGGGAACCGGGTGGGGAAACGGACCAGCCGGGTAGGGTACCGGGCGGGGAACCGGACCATCCGGGTCATCCGGGTGGGGATCCGGATCGACCGGGTCATCCGGGTGGGGAACCGGACCAACCGGACCATCCGGGTGGGGAACCGGGTCGGGAACCGGATCAACCCGACCATCCGGTTGGGGAGCCGGACCAATCGGACCGTCCGGGTGGGGAGCCGAATCGACCGGGTGGGAAATCGGACCAACCGGGTGGGGAACCGGACCAACCGGACCATCCGGGTGGGGAACCGGGTCGGGAACCGGATCAACCCGACCATCCGGTTGGGGAACCGGACCAATCGGACCGTCCGGGTGGGGAGCCGAATCGACCGGGTGGGAAATCGGACCAACCGGGTGGGGAACCGGACCAACCGGACCATCCGGGTGGGGAACCGGGTCGGGAACCGGATCAACCCGACCATCCGGTTGGGGAACCGGACCAATCGGACCGTCCGGGTGGGGAGCCGAATCGACCGGGTGGGAAATCGGACCAACCGGGTGGGGAACCGGACCAACCGGACCATCCGGGTGGGGAACCGGGTCGGGAACCGGATCAACCCGACCATCCGGTTGGGGAACCGGACCAATCGGACCGTCCGGGTGGGGAGCCGAATCGACCGGGTGGGAAATCGGACCAACCGGGTGGGGAACCGGACCAACCGGACCATCCGGGTGGGGAACCGGGTCGGGAACCGGATCAACCCGACCATCCGGTTGGGGAACCGGACCAATCGGACCGTCCGGGTGGGGAGCCGAATCGACCGGGTGGGAAATCGGACCAACCGGGTGGGGAACCCGGTGCGGTTCCGGGTCGGGAGCCGGGTCAACCGGACCATCCGGACGGGGAACCGGATGATCCGGGTGGTCCGGGTGGGGAAGCGGACCAACCGGACCAACCGGGTGCGGTACCGGGTGGGAAACCGGACCAAACGGGTAGTGATCCGGACGGGGAACCGGATCACCCGGGTCGGGAACCGGATCGACCGGGTCTGGGGTGGGGAACCGGACCATCCGGGTGGGGAACCGGGTGGG